GGGAGGGTAGAGGGAGAGTGGGTTGGAAAGAGGGAACCGATTACAAAGATCTATATGTGACCTCCTCCCCGGGGGACGGACAACCAAAAGGAGGGTGAAGGGAGATGTTGGACAGGGCAAGATAGGACAAAATACCAATTTATAAACTATCAAGGGCTCATGAGAGAGGGGGGAGTGGGGAGGGAGGGGAAAAATGAGGACCTAATGCCGGGGGTTTAAGTGGAGAGGAAATGTTTTGAGAATGATGAAGGTAATGAATGTACAAATGCGCTCTACACAATTGATGTGTGTATGGATTGTGATAAGAGTTGTATGAGCCCCTAATAAAATGATTTAAAAAAAAATAATAAATTTGTTTAAAAAAAGAAGAACTGGGAAAAAAAGAAAAAGATATGTTTCTTTTTCTGTTTAAATAGCAATGTGATTTAAAGGGTGAATCTGCTCACTTAAAGAGAAGGCTAATTCCTATGCTGATGTGCAATTTGAACCACTTTCCTAGTGAGAAAGGGCCTCGTGCCTACGCTCAGTGCCCTGACATAGAGCCAGTCTATTGATTAACTATAGCTACTAACATGATCATCGTAACTCCGATTTGTACCCTGTTTTTCCTTATCCATTCCGAAATGCTTTTTTCTTTCCCTTTCCTTCTTCTCCTTTACTTTTTGCCAGTTCTGAGTTTTAAAAAAGGAAGAAGCTTCCAGGAATACAAGTTAATATTACTTTGAGTCCCAAGAGAAAATGCTAGGGAAAGAAAGAGAATTTATTTGAGAGAAAAGGCTTTTACCCAGTCCTATCCAGCGAAATGGCAGAGTTGGAATATGTACATTTTAACTTTTTCATTATGTAGAAGCAGGGAGAAGCACCATCCGAACTGCCTGCTACCTGTCACCCTGCTTCTAGAAGGAGCCATCGATGACCCCAGTCCCCGACTCACCCTGAAAGACATGGACCGCCGTCAGGGGACTCTGACTCCAGCGGACCCTGCCTTCCAGAGCAGGCGGTGCCCCCGGCGCTGGCTTGGCTGTGATCTTCATGGGAGGAGGCGACCAGGTCTTTCTGCATGGCACCATGTGGTGGGTTCAAGGAGCCAACTTCTTGACCAGCGGAAACCATTTGTGCCACCGAAGGCTGATCCGCCCCCCGCCCCCCACCCCGGAAAACCAAACCAAATGGCCTGCCAGCGAGTCGATTCTGACTCATCGCGACCCTGTAGGACAGGGCAGAACTGTCCCTGTGGGGTTCCGAGATGGTTAACTGTTTGTGGGAGTAGACTGCCTCCTCTTTCTCCCATGGAGTGTCTGGTGGTTTCGAACCACTGTCCTCGGGGTTGGCAGCCCAATCAATGCGTAACTACAACGCCACCAGGACTCCTTCCCCTCCCCTCATTCCATAGGAACCTGAAGCAAATTCCAGATTTCGTGTCATTTCATTTGTACACATTAAAGGCGAATGTTCAAAGCATTCGCCAGAGCTCATGATCATAAGGAGACTCCATCACCAAGCCTCAGGCCCTTCTCCGGGGTCTGTCAGCTTACCTCTGCCTCATCAATGGAATGTTAATGCAATTCGCAGCAGCCACAGCAGCGAAGGGCACAAACCGCCCTATCAGGGGCGAGACATGCTGCAGAAAAGAGAATGAGAAAGCATTATTTTATTTCCTGTAGGACAGGATGGAAACATTTCTTTCATGAAAACGGAAGCATTCAGGGTGCTGTTTGTGTAGCCACTGCTAACTGTGGGAGTGTGCGCGTTGCTACGACGCTGGAAGGTGGCCCCATCGGTATTTCAGATGCCAGCAGAGTAGCCCCGCTGAACAGGTTTAGCAGAGCTTCCAGACGGGGAAAGAAGCGTTAGAAAGGCTTGGAGACCCACTTCCAGAACACGAGCCAACACGATGGCATGGTTCAGTACAGAACACTGTCTAAACGGTTTCCTTCGGACATGCCGGCAGGAGGGATGCGTGTCTCCGGAAGGGCATCATGGGGGTGAAACGGGGAGCCTTTGATGGCGGTGAGACTCTGACGAGGCCGATTGGCGCAGCAGCCGTAACGGTGGGCTGGAACAGGCTGGCGAAGTTTAAAAAACATGCTTAAAAATATAAATCGAAACAACCCCACAAGCTGAACTCACGGCCACCAAGCGGGTCTGACTCGTGGTGACCCCGTAGGACAGGGGAGAGCTGCTTCCGCGGGTTTCTGAGACGGTCACTCTTTATGGGGGCAGAGAGGCCCCTCTTTCTCCCATGGACCAGCTTACTCTTCGGTGAGCGGCAGCCCACTGCGCCACCAGGGCCCCCTGTGCAGACGGTAAGGCGTGGGCGACGTGTCGTCATGCGACGGAGTGGACGTCACAGTCTTTAGAGACGGCTCACTTTCCACACTGGTCTCCGGCTCCTTTCACATCTCTGCACGGACACTCCGGGATGATGCTGGTTCCTAAGACGCGGTTACATCTCCGTGCGGCTGAAGGAGCGTAGACGCATGGGTCACTGTCCTGAGGCCAGAGGCCAGCTCCTCCGTCTCTTTAGAAGTGTGGCCCGAGGCTACACAACCTGGATGCGCTCCTGGAGTGCCTGTCCTGGGATGCGTGAGCCTTTAGGCTAGCGGTTCTCAACCTGTGGGTCGCAACCTCTTTGGGGGTCGAATGACCCTTTCACAGGGGTTGCCTAGGACCATCGGAAACCACCTATTTCCAAGACACCACTCCTCTATCCGTCTCCAGGCAGGTCCGCCCACATGCGAGTACCCCGGCATGAGGACTGTTACCTATGCTATGCCATGCTTCGAGACAAAATTTCATTTATTTGTAATTAAAAATAAATATTTCACAACAGATAATTGCATATGGTTTTGTGATTAATCACTATGCTTTCATTATGTTCAATTTGTAACAATGAAAATACATCCTGCATATCAGATATTTACATGATGATTCATACAGTAGCCAAATTACAGTTATGAAATAGCAACGAAAATAATTTTATGGGGAAAAAAAGAATTTTATGGTTGGGGGGGTCATCACAACACGAGGAACTGTATGGAAGGGTCGGGGCATGAGGAAGGCTGAGAATCACTGGTTTAGACTGATACACAGTATCAGACATGGACCAACGTCTTCTTGGTCACAACCCTTCCCAAGTTGAAAGAGAAGATAGAACTTAAAGTGTGCAGCTGAAAACCGTCACAAGAACAACTCGTGGATCCAGACTGGTGGTGACCCCGTGTGGGTCAGGCTAGAAACGGGCTCCATGGGGATGTCCAGGGCTAGTCTTTCAGAAGCAGGTTACCAGGCCTTTCTTCTGAGGCTCTGTGGGCGAACTCAAATCTCCAACCTGCTCGTTGGCAGCCGAGCGCCTTAACCCTTGGCACCACGCAGGGTCTTCAATAACGATTCCAAGACAACCGTGTTCAGACTTGAACCACTTCAATGCATAAGAAAGGAGCTTGGAGCCAGGCAGGCAAGAACAAAATAAGACGCTTCCATAAAACTGAAATTAAAAAAATAAAAGAGCAGAAATAGAAACCACCAGTACCTTGGTGAGCGCATTGAGTCCTAGGGCTGTGGCTACGGCGCCCGTCGTCGCAGACACATAGGCTGTTCCCAGCTCGCTGAGGAGAAAGGGACATCGCCTCAGTCACACGTGCACAGGAGGAAAAGCTACGGCATCCTTTGTGAAGAGACGATGGGGAATGAAAGGATCGTGATCCCGAATGGAGAGTCTACAAAGCCGCACTCATTGCTCCAAATGAAGCAAGTGGACTCTTAAAGAAGGGTTTCTTCACATAGAGCTTCGTGACAACCAAATGGAGGCAGACAGACAGATTGCGTGTGGATTGGGTGGGGAAGGCTCAGGACCCACAGTGGGCAGGATCCCGCGAGTGAGGGACCAGGCCTGTTGGGTTATATGCTTGTAGCATATTTGCTTTAGAAAGACAACTTCTCAAAATAGTTGTATACAGACTGAACATGAAACTGCACACTACCCATGTTACAATGGTGCCTACTTCACTGCATAAAAACGCTACAAGCCTCGTCTTGAAAACACCATCAAGCAAGGCAATGATAGCTTTAATACAAGAGAAGTTCAATCCAAGGCTAGAGATAATGACTTCAATAGCCCGACTTCCAGGGGAGGCTGGTGGAAGAACAGGGATTATCAAAAGCAGTTGTAAACACCACAAAAA